ACAGGTGAACCGTGATAAAACGCCCTGTAATATAATATATGAAATATTTTTGATTTTTGTTTTGAATAATTATTAATGATAATTGGGTGTAAGAAAACGACGGTTTGGAAAAAATAAATAACGCGTGCACCCTACGGTCGGTCAATACGACTTTTTGAGTAAGCAGTGTTAAAATTGATATTTTTCGTGTGGAATTTGAAATTTTTAATTAATTTTGGAGGTTTTGCTCAGAAATTTTATTTTTGGTAAATATTTATTGGAAAATCAAGCTACATTCGGTAGTTTAGTTTCCTAAATTTTAGGTAACTTTCGTTAGAAAATAGTAAAAATTAAAATATTTTATTTTGTTTGTGCGCGAAAATACGGGTTTTGGAGAATTTTGGAGAAATGTTTAGAAAATTTTATAATTTATATATATATATATATATATATATATATATATATATATATATATATATATATATATATATATACATATATATATATATATATATATATATATATATATACATATATATATATATATATACATGGTACAATGAAGAGAAGGTAGGCCAAGTTTGAAAAAATTGCAAGTATAGGGGTCTACCTGTTTGGCTTGTAATGTCAGAATTAGTATCAAAACAATAAAAAATCAAACAACTTGTTGCATTTATTTTGAATAAATAATTGAAAAACGCTATAACTGAATGAAAGGTCAACACTTCTTTTCAAAATCATGTACAATATATCTCTAAAGGATTATTTCGCTACAAAAACTCTAGATTTTGTCGATGCATACGTTGAGATAAACATTTTGAATGTTTCCTGAACAATTTTGTTGTATTTGAAAAATAAAGAAACACATACATAAACAAATAAAGATGACATATTAAGCCAAGAAAATAAAAAATTTAAAATCATATGGTATCATAGCCCTACCTTGATATCATTGTACCATGTATGTATATATATATATATATATTTTTTTTTTAACACTTTTATATATATATATATATATATATATATATATATATATATATATATATATATATATATATATATATATATATATATATATATATACATATATATATAAATTATAAAATTTTCTAAACATTTCTCCAAAATTCTCCAAAACCCGTATTTTCGCGCACAAACAAAATAAAATATTTTAATTTTTACTATTTTCTAACGAAAGTTACCTAAAATTTAGGAAACTAATCTACCGAATGTAGCGTGATTTTCCAATAAATATTTACCAAAAATAAAATTTCTGAGCAAAACCTCCAAAATTAATTAAAAATTTCAAATTCCACACGAAAAATATCAATTTTAGCACTGTTTACTCAAAAAGTCGTATTGACCGATCGTAGGGTGCACGCGTTATTTATTTTTTCCAAACCGTCGTTTTCTTACACCCAATTACCATTAATAATTATTCAAAACAAAAATCAAAAATATTTCATATATTATATTACAGGGCGTTTTATCACGGTTCACCTGTAATGCAACGAACGATAGAAAATATCAAACGTATGTATGTATACGCTTATGTGTGGCTTACCGACCAAACAGTGATCATCAGAAAGAATGCAAATTTCGCAAAAAAATTAACAATTTTCTAATTTCAACTATACCGATCGATAGAAAATTTAGCGTACATTAAAATGACACCCGACAACAATATTTTATTTTCACTAGAAAAATACACTTTTTTACAATTATTTTGCTTTATTTGTTTTCTATGATTTTTTTTCGAATGCCGACAGCAAAACAATAGTTGTGTTCCAGTACTTTTTTAGTAGTAAAACCAGGAGAAGAGAGAACAGTTCGAAATGTCATTCTCATTTAGGTTTGCTCAAAAAATAAGGGAACGGAAAATTAGCAGAAATGCGATAAAATGTCAAAATTCAATATTCCAAAAGTAAACAGCCTAAATCGGACTGGTGAAACCTTACTGAAAAGAGCGCCAACATTTAAAAAATGAGTATTGAAGACTATAAGTTAAAATTTATAATTTATAATAATAATTAATAATCCGATTCCTCATTCAGCCAGTCCTCTTCACTGCTGGAATCATCCAAAAGTGAATACATCAGTTGCTCCATATTTTCCCTTTTTGTTTTTTGCACGACAAATGTTAGTTTTTCCTTTAGTTTTCAAGTTGACCATTTTCTTTATTGAAATGTATCAATACATTTTTCAACCTTGTTAGCCCTGCCAATTAAATGTCAAATTTACAATATGCACATTTCTGCTCGGCCAAATTCATGTAGCTAAAACAAGCAAAAATGTGCACCACTCAGCGCCATTTTTTTCTCGAGAGAGCAGCAAGTTTTGCTAGTTTTTGGAGTACGGGAACGCGTTGTAGCAGAATTAGTGCTAATTAGTACTAATTTGCAGGTTCTGGAACACAACTAATATTTGCAAAACTAGACGGCGGGGGAACGAGGTACGCGACGCGTTGTAAAACGGCCACTGAACAAATAAACGAGACGATTTGTTGTTGTTTTACACAATTTTTTTCCGAAAATTCTTTCCTTAGAGAATATTGTTTTTTAATTTCACAAGGCACTTTTTCACTGTACGTACCTAATTGTTTTTAATGGAAAATAGATCATGATGAGGATGACGATGAGTGCGTGGACTGTATTTTTGTTGTGTTGATGAAGTTTGCTTTACAAGTAGAAAAAAAGAAGAAACGATTAACTTTTTTCTACCAAGGGCTCGTAATCCGGTACGAAGTGACCAATGTTTGCGCAAATGCGGGGATAGGGGGAATATGCAAAGCAAACCAATACAAAATAGAATAAATAAAAACACGATAGTGGGGTTAGTTATATAATATAAAAAATATAGCAAAAGCCAGGCTTTATTGATAAATAATATAAAGGATTTGATAAACAATATTACCTTTTTGCACAATAGCGGCGAGAGCCTTCTTTCGTATCGGGGCGATAGAAGAAGAGAGTGATTAACAACAAAACAACGATCCTAACATGAAGTAAGGCGGCGTTGGCGTCATTCGCCACTCGTTGAAATCTGTTGACATTGACAGATTTCAACGATGTTAATCATTTACAAGTAATTAGGCGTTAACCCATTGTTAACGCAGCAAAACACTTATTTTCAATCTAAATTAAACAACCTCCTTTTTAAAATTAACTCCAAATGTTCATCACTTATGGGTGAACTTAACGCTATTAACAAGGTCGTAGACCTCATTTTAGAAGATGAAATTCAAAGGGTGGTAATCCTGACCGATAGCAAAAATGCCTGGTTACAATAACACATCACTCAACTATTTGGAAACACAATTATCAGTAAGATAAATAATAAATAAATATAAGTCATCTTACTTTTGTGTGGGTTCCTTCCCATATTGGAATCCAATCGGGAACAATGCGGAATTATATGAAGCCCTATGGGATGAATGGGTTAAATAACGCGTGCACCCTACGATCGGTCAATACGACTTTTTGAGTAAAAAGTGTTAAAATTGATATTTTTCGTGTGGAATTTGAAATTTTGAATTAATTTTGGAGATTTTGCTAAGAAATTTTATTTTTGGTAAATATTTATTTGAAAATCACGTTACATTCGGTAGTTTAGTTTCCTAAATTGTAGGTAACTTTAGTTAGAAAGTAGTAAAAATATTTTTTTATTAAAATATTTTATTTTGTTTGTACGCGAAAATACGGTTTTTGGAAAATTGCCGGTAAAATATAAAATGTTTAGAAAATTTTATAATTTATATATATATATATAAATATATATATATACATATATATATATATATATATATATATATATATATATATATATATATATATATATATATATATATATGTATATATATATATATATATATATGAGGGCTATGATACCATATGATTTTAAATTTTATATTTTCTTGGCTTAATATGTCATCTTTATTTGTTTATGTATGTGTTTCTTTATTTTTCAAATACAAAAAAATTGTTCAGGAAACATTCAAAATGTTTATCTCAACGTATGCATCGACAAAATCTAGAGTTTTTGTAGCGAAATAATCCTTTAGAGATATATTGTACATGATTTTGAAAAGAAGTGTTGACCTTTCATTCAGTTATCGCGTTTTTCAATTATATATATATATATATATATATATATATATATATATATATATATATATATATATATATATATATATATATACATACATATATATATATATATATATATATATATATATATATATATATATATATATATATATATATATATATATATATATACATATATATATAAATTATAAAATTTTCTAAACATTTCTCCAAAATTCTCCAAAACCCGTATTTTCGCGCACAAACAAAATAAAATATTTTAATTTTTACTATTTTCTAACGAAAGTTACCTAAAATTTAGGAAACTAATCTACCGAATGTAGCGTGATTTTCCAATAAATATTTACCAAAAATAAAATTTCTGAGCAAAACCTCCAAAATTAATTAAAAATTTCAAATTCCACACGAAAAATATCAATTTTAGCACTGTTTACTCAAAAAGTCGTATTGACCGATCGTAGGGTGCACGCGTTATTTATTTTTTCCAAACCGTCGTTTTCTTACACCCAATTACCATTAATAATTATTCAAAACAAAAATCAAAAATATTTCATATATTATATTACAGGGCGTTTTATCACGGTTCACCTGTAATGCAACGAACGATAGAAAATATCAAACGTATGTATGTATACGCTTATGTGTGGCTTACCGACCAAACAGTGATCATCAGAAAGAATGCAAATTTCGCAAAAAAAATTAACAATTTTCTAATTTCAACTATACCGATCGATAGAAAATTTAGCGTACATTAAAATGACACCCGACAACAATATTTTATTTTCACTAGAAAAATACACTTTTTTACAATTATTTTGCTTTATTTGTTTTCTATGATTTTTTTTTCGAATGCCGACAGCAAAACAATAGTTGTGTTCCAGTACTTTTTTAGTAGTAAAACCAGGAGAAGAGAGAACAGTTCGAAATGTCATTCTCATTTAGGTTTGCTCAAAAAATAAGGGAACGGAAAATTAGCAGAAATGCGATAAAATGTCAAAATTCAATATTCCAAAAGTAAACAGCCTAAATCGGACTGGTGAAACCTTACTGAAAAGAGCGCCAACATTTAAAAAATGAGTATTGAAGACTATAAGTTAAAATTTATAATTTATAATAATAATTAATAATCCGATTCCTCATTCAGCCAGTCCTCTTCACTGCTGGAATCATCCAAAAGTGAATACATCAGTTGCTCCATATTTTCTCTTTTTGTTTTTTGCACGACAAATGTTAGTTTTTCCTTTAGTTTTCAAGTTGATCATTTTCTTTATTGAAATGTATCAATACATTTTTCAACCTTGTTAGCCCTGCCAATTAAATGTCAAATTTACAATATGCACATTTCTGCTCGGCCAAATTCATGTAGCTAAAACAAGCAAAAATGTGCACCACTCAGCGCCATTTTTTTCTCGAGAGAGCAGCAAGTTTTGCTAGTTTTTGGAGTACGGGAACGCGTTGTAGCAGAATTAGTGCTAATTAGTACTAATTTGCAGGTTCTGGAACACAACTAATATTTGCAAAACTAGACGGCGGGGGAACGAGGTACGCGACGCGTTGTAAAACGGCCACTGAACAAATAAACGAGACGATTTGTTGTTGTTTTACACAATTTTTTTCCGAAAATTCTTTCCTTAGAGAATATTGTTTTTTAATTTCACAAGGCACTTTTTCACTGTACGTACCTAATTGTTTTTAATGGAAAATAGATCATGATGAGGATGACGATGAGTGCGTGGACTGTATTTTTGTTGTGTTGATGAAGTTTGCTTTACAAGTAGAAAAAAAGAAGAAACGATTAACTTTTTTCTACCAAGGGCTCGTAATCCGGTACGAAGTGACCAATGTTTGCGCAAATGCGGGGATAGGGGGAATATGCAAAGCAAACCAATACAAAATAGAATAAATAAAAACACGATAGTGGGGTTAGTTATATAACATAAAAAATATAGCAAAAGCCAGGCTTTATTGATAAATAATATAAAGGATTTGATAAACAATATTACCTTTTTGCACAATAGCGACGAGAGCCTTCTTTCGTATCGGGGCGATAGAAGAAGAGAGTGATTAACAACAAAACAACGATCCTAACATGAAGTAAGGCGGCGTTGGCGTCATTCGCCACTCGTTGAAATCTGTTGACATTGACAGATTTCAACGATGTTAATCATTTACAAGTAATTAGGCGTTAACCCATTGTTAACGCAGCAAAACACTTATTTTCAATCTAAATTAAACAACCTCCTTTTTAAAATTAACTCCAAATGTTCATCACTTATGGGTGAACTTAACGCTATTAACAAGGTCGTAGACCTCATTTTAGAAGATGAAATTCAAAGGGTGGTAATCCTGACCGATAGCAAAAATGCCTGGTTACAATAACACATCACTCAACTATTTGGAAACACAATTATCAGTAAGATAAATAATAAATAAATATAAGTCATCTTACTTTTGTGTGGGTTCCTTCCCATATTGGAATCCAATCGGGAACAATGCGGAATTATATGAAGCCCTATGGGATGAATGGGTTAGAAAATATAGACTATTGTCGATATCAAAAGGCACAAACTTCTCTCATTTTCTCCACCAAAAAAACACTGGCATGCCGAACTGTCTTTAGAACCTGGAGAAATAAAAATTATCAATAGACTCCTAGCGGGTCACTCATACTGCAAAACGTACCTGTTTAAAATGAAGCTGATAGACATTAATCTTGGCTAAGTTGAGTTTAGGGGCTATGTTCGGATTGACCTGAAAATTTTACCACGCGTAGATCTTTTTAACCTGATTACGGCAAAGTAATTTTTCTGTGGGGAAATACGCGGTTAAAAGTGGTCATATGTTAGGTTGATTTAAATCGGTTCCGGAGTAATACAAAAAATAGGTATTTTTGTACCGGAACTATAAAGGTTAGATACATATAAGTGGAGAAAATCTCAATTTAATGATTTGCAACATTAATATCTCCGGAACTACAAGAGATACCAATACCTTTGGCACCATTTTGGAAAGGGCAGAGTGTAGGCTACAATGTAGTTTATAGTACCCCATAATGGGCCCATTTTCGAAAATGGAGTACTATAAACTACATTGTAGCCTACACTTTGCCCTTTCCAAAATGGTGCAGCACATATAATGCAATTTTGGAAAGGTAGGAATATAGGCTATAATGTAGCATGAAGATCTTAATACCCCATAATGGGTACATTTTCGAGTTTTTAGCAAAGTACTGGTGTAAAAATACTTGCATTACTCCGGAACCGGTTTCTATGGCCCTATCATATGACAAATTGTTAGATAGGTCATTCCATAAGCTTTAAAATAGTACCCATTTTTGTGGAACCGGATGTTGTATTCGAAAATTTGGGTCAAATAACCGTGTAACCGGGTATTTCCCCCATGAAAAAAATTACTTTTCCTTAATGAGTGGTAAAAATTTCAAAATGATCCGAGCGTACCCCTTAACTCAACTTGCTCCCTTAAATTTTTTCAATGTGTTTGCTAACTTACATAATTTATTGAAATGTCGAACAAGCTCCGTCACCAAGGAACTCTGCAATTTCATTACTTCAGCCAAAATTGAATTGTAAACAAAAATGAAGTCACTCACCCAAGGTAGATCTAACAGGTAACCGCATCGGCGAATTGCTACAAAAAAACAACTTTTGTGGTACCCTCAAATGTCAAAATTGGCATCTAAGGGGAAAAATATATATTCGCCATGACATTTAAAGTTTGCGGCAAATTTGTTTCAACCAATCAGAAACGAGATGATTGTTTACATGTTGTGTGTGGGTATCAAGCCAAGTAATAATACGACTCTCGGGGACCATTGCAAAAGTCCCAAGTTGATAGTTAGCCCTCGAAATTTTTATACAAGCCCACAACTGTACTATCTTCTACGTCTGGGCCGCCTGGAAATGTCCACGATAAATTACATATTAAGGCCAGTGCTGGACATTATCTCAACACCTAGGATTTAAATAAAATTGCACCACATGGTATGGATTCACCCGCCAACATCTCCAGCGACATTGCCCAAAATGTATCGCATGTTAACAGTGTACATATGCAGCAGCAGTAACAACAATTCTCGAACTGTTCCATGCAAATACGGCCATACATACACCACATATTCAACAGCAGAATATGAATAATTTGGACAATAACCAACAACATAATACCCAACAACAAAATCCTTTTCTTTTTCATTTTTTTTTAATTTTTTTACTGGTAATCAGGAAAAATCAGAAAAAAATACTTTTAGTGAAGAAGACATAAACAAACTTTGTTTTTGTGTTGCATTCATTTAGGGCGAATTCAGCATTACAACAACTTGTTTTGACATTTAAAGGTGCCGTCAGCTGGGCTGATGCGACTACCTTGAACTCACCTTTATGCTAGGAACACGATTGGAGCGAACGACGAATTTTTCGCGGCGTATGTTCGTCGTCAAAAATAAAAAACATATGTGTATATGGAAATGCACACAATCGCGGCGCCGTCTAAAATTTTGTCGGACGCCGCGAAGCCAATTAGCTTTTTTTCTATTTCATACGCGGGCGAACGGCGAACAAAACAGTACAAGGTGGCCATACTTGTACGAATTTTATGTGTTTTGGTAAATAAAGTTACTTTTTACTTTAAAATTTGTTATGGTCACTCTACTATCTGTTACTCGTATAAAAAAAAAACATAATTAATTTGTTTATTTATTTGTGTACTTGCACCTGAGTGAAGATGGATATCAGTGAATTTATAATAGAGAAGATGGACATAAGTGAAATTATAATAGAGAACGTAAAGAATTATGAATTCTTGTATAACTAGGACTCAAAAGACTACAAGAATGTTCAAAAAAAGACGGAAGTATGGGAGGAAATTGGCTCCGTAAAAGCCATTCTCTGGAATCTTTCGGTGTTTCTTTTAATGTTAATTGGCCGTACCCACCATCTTCTCCGTAAACGTTTTCGCACAAGCAGATAAGCTTTTACTATAATATACATTATGTTAATAATTTTAACAATTTTAATAAACTTTACTATTCTCTGATTCATTGTAGTCAACAAATGAGCAAAAAGTAAACAACTTCATCAGCTGTTTTATAATTTCGTCGGTATTGTGTTCCATACGACGAATTTACGCAGCTGATTTTGTCGCCGCGTAGGGCGAAATTCGTCGTTCACTCCAATTGGGTTCCTAGCATTACTTATAATCAAATCGTGAACCGCGACATTCACCTTACGGAACTAGTTCAATTATTTAGTTACTTGAGTATTCACTAATAATGTAAACAGAACTAGTCTTGTTATAAAGGTACTACGAATATCTATCCACCAATTTTTCAATAAACCAAAAAAAATGCGATTTGAGAGAAACAATTTTACAGTTCTTTTGTTAAAGTTTGCAATATCTTGCTGATCACTTTTTTTCTTACAACACTTCTTTCTTTTGAATAGGTGTGTGTGTTGTCACAAATTGTTACTGGAAGTCTTCTGTCAACCCGAATACTCTGCAAAAGAGAGCAGTCACTTGTAACACTTCTTTTTCTCATTCATCTACATTCAATCAGATGTTCTTTATTGTTTGTTTATTAATAATTTTTGTTCTTGGATAACAACTTTACAAAACGTGAATATTAACATGTACTACGAAAATTAAAGACTAATCCCAACATTTTTGGACAAACGTCATTAGAAGCACGTTTAAAGGATTCCGAGGAACACATCAAATCTATCTTCTACCTATTGCTCATATTTTCATCTTAGTGCTAATTTCCTTTTTATTTATAACTTCTAATATATATTAATAAATATTTCTTTTAAGTCTTTGAATGGGGGACGAATCGGTTTGTTTTTACAATACAGCTGATTAGTTGCAGCTTCTGCAGGAATACCGTCTGTTTACTTTTCGTATTTTACTTACAAAAGAGAATAAAACTACCATACTCTCTCAGAAAGATGTTGCTGGTCAATTCTTGCAGGAAAAGTAACCAGACACAGCTAATATTAATTGATTTCTTTCAGTAAATGCAATTTGAAAATATATTTGGTCTGTTCCAGAACTGCAGGAATGTAAAAGTTTTTAATACGATAACAGATTCTTGTAGGTTCTGCAACAGAGCAAATAATTTTGGAACTTTTGAGAACATTGTTTAATTTCGGAATTTCTTCCTCTTTTCCTATTCTACAACGGTTCATATTTTTATCAGCTGAGATCACTTAAAGTTTTTACAATGATTACAGAGATTTCCTTTATGATATCGAAAAAATGCTAAACTAGTAGATACTTGCAGGTTCTGGAACAAAGCAATCATGATTTCGGTTGGGTTCCAAAAATCGATAGATTAGATCTAATTCCCAATCGCTATGCTGTAATTTAACCCATGATGTGGCCACTAGTTGAATTGGTATTTTCATCAGATATCAAATGATACCTACACATCGATTTAATTGATCCGTATCTAATAATAAATTCGAAGGCTTTTGCTAAACTAGAGTTTTTCCTATAAATCTACATCCCTCTATCAAAAATAAGTTGCGGTGAAATTTCTGCAGGAAAAGTAACCAGACAGACCTATTATCTGCCGCTTCAGCTTTAAAAGAAAATATAAACATTTGAGCAAACAATTTTTGTTTATAATTTCAATGATATGAAATTACGAAAAGTGCTCATAATTACATGCGTAGTTATTGCCACGTATGTATTGTATTTAATTCATCATGAAAATATAAATAAATCTTTCTTTGGAATTAATTCAAATACGGGGTTAGGAATCAGGTATGTGAAATGAAAATAAGTCTTACATTTGTAATGATCAATGTAAATTACAGTACTCAACGTCCAATTTTTCGCATAGCAGTAGTAGCTTGTGGTCAACGATTGCGTGAAACATTAGCGATGATAAAATCTGCCTTGCTCTTTAACCATTACCATGACCGACTGTATTTTATAATATTTGCTGAAGACCATTTAATTACAAGCTTTTCTGAAAAGCTTGGCGATTGGCAAACATTGCTTCCAGAGGAATTTGGATATCAAATCCTGCCCCTGCAGTTTCCACCCAACAATTCTGAATGGAAAACTCTGTTCAAACCCTGCGCCGCGCAGCGACTATTTTTGCCGGTAAATTATGACAACAAAGAATTATTTGTAGATGTGCTAGCTAACCTCTTTAATAGTCTCTACTTCAATCAACTGAAAGTCTCTTGTATGTGGATACGGACATTATATTTTTGTCACCTGTTGCTGATGTGTGGAATTTTTTCAAAAAATTTAATGGAAGCCAAATAGCTGCTTTGGCTCCAGAGCACGAAGATGAAAACATTGGGTGGTACAATCGATTCGCTCGCCATCCTTATTATGGCTCTCTTGGAGTTAACTCTGGTGTCATGCTTATGAACCTAACTCGAATGCGAGTCTTCAAGTGGGAAGAACATATACTCCCCATCCATAAAGAATATAAGCTAAGAATTACCTGGGGCGACCAAGATATCATAAACATTCTCTTCTATTATCATCCCGGTAGTATACGTAAATTAAACACGAACAAACTAATTGAAATTTTACATTTTCAGAAAAATTGTACGTGTTGCCTTGTGAATACAACTATCGTCCGGATCATTGCATGTACATGAGTGTTTGCCCTTCCCCCAATGGAATAAAAATCTTTCACGGTAATCGTGGTTATTTCCATTCCAGCAAACAACCGCTTTTTCGCGCGGTCTTCGAAGCTGTGGAAAATTATCAGATTGAAACTGATCCATATAGCAATTTCCTTTTACCTCTAAAGGAAGCCATAAAAGACACGCTTGTTGTAGATTCAAATTGTGGAAAAGTTTCAAATAGTGTTATTTGGATTGCAAGTAAAATTTTCTCTTATAAATATAGCTAAATATAATAGTATATTAATATTTATATCTGAATTAAAAATCTTATGGGTTAATGATGATATTTTTACTCAAATAATCTCTTTACAGCATTGTGATTTTCTAATATTCGGTTTATAACGAATTATATAATTAATTGATAATAATAATTGATACAATATGCGTAACACAATGGGTATATATTGCAATCATGAGCTGCTTTGCTAATGGTCATTCTAAAACCAACAAAAGCAGGTAAAGAATTTAAGAAAAATCAGAGATTAGAATCATATGGTGGCAGATTTTGATACTTGACGTATTGTGAGTTTTTGTTCAAGAGTAAATATTGATAGGATCATACCAATCGTTTGTAATTGTTGTAGATATGATATGGATTTGTTCGAGAGCAACCGGTATTCAAGCTGTCAGAAACATATATTTTCTGCCAAATACGAATATTTCTTTCAAAATTTTAAGCCATAATGGCGGCCACGGTTGTCAGATATTGCGTTTTTTTTTTTCAATGCGTTTGCCGACTTAATTTTTGTTTTGATTTTTTCCGTATACAGTTTTCGCCAAAATTATTAACTACATGGCTAAGGAAAGACTTCAAACTTTTCTAGATCAAAATAACATATTTCCCCACAACACATGCATGTGGGAAAAATCTATCCGCCTCTATGTGCATAAATGATTTGATACATTCAATAAATTATTATAAAGAACAATGTGATAAAGTCATCATTGTACCTTTAGATGTGAGTAAAACATCAGCACACAAAGTTTTTGACATAGCTAACAATATTCTTCAAAGCAAGATTAATGAATTCGTTAAAATATTAAAATCTCTCTGTGAACGCCGATAAAACAGCTGTCATGTATGGGGCAAAAGTAGCTAGAAAAATACCACAAATCAAAATAGAAGCAGTATTAATTAAATCAGTTGATACAATTAAATTTTTTGGAAGGCACATAAAAATAGTTTAAGATAAAAAATCATTACGATGAAGTAATTAAGACTTGCAACACCACTTTAAATGAATTGAAAATGATTAATTCTCTTAAAGATGGACTTCACCCTAATATATATGTAAACCTATCGCGATCGCTCCTATTCTCGAAATTTGAATATTATATTTCTTCAATGGCTCATATGCTCAACTACATCAATAAAAAACTTATAACATATCAAAACCAAATTCTAAGGAAAAACTGCGATTAACATCTTCAACAACCGTACACATAATCTACACCTTAGCAGTTGTTCTGCCACCCGAACTGCGGTCGCAGTACCTTGCTGCCAAAGAGTTATTTAAATTCAAAATGTTTCACTGGAACACATATGAAAAATTCACGTCTTACCCATCTAAGATAACAAATCTTGACATGATATAATAAGTTCAAGCACATTTTCGACAACACCAAAATAAGTCCTTCTAAAAGCCCAAGAGAAAAAAAATCATTTGTTATGAACATTTTTAATGCTGGAAAAAAACACGCAATTAACCGAATACTTGTATTTAATTCGAAAAAATTAACGAGTTAATTACTAACAGCACATCTATATGGGCGGCCGATGCTTCGATTATTGGAAATTCAACAGGTTGCGGAGTTTGCAACATATCATTGAATTAATTTTTAAAATTAATTCCAAATGTTCATCATTTATGGATGAACTTAACGCTATTAACAAGGCCGTAGACCTTATTTTAGAAGATGAAATTCAAAGGGCGGTAATCCTGACCGATAGCAAAAATGCCTGATTACTCTTTAGAAATAACACATCACTCAACTATTTAGTAAACACAATTATCAGTAAGATAAATAATTCAAATATAAGTCATCTTACTTTTGTGTGGGTTCCTTCCCATATTGGAATCCAATCGAATGAACGCGCAGATTATTTTGCCAGACAAGCCGTGGATGCTGGTTGTGTCATTTCGTCCAACTTAGCCGCTAAGAATGCTAGCTGCACAGACAATTTTCTGTCATAGGCTGTAACATCCATTATGAACTTCAAATGCGAAATTTAAAACAATTCCGGGAAATAATGTCGCTAAAATCATGAAAATACCGAATATCGGGGGGTACCGTTATTTGGGGGCTATACGATGGCGTGGACCTGAACAGACAATTTTCTGTCATAGGCTATAGTATTCATTACGAACTTCAAATGCCAAATTTGAAATAGTTCGGGAAAATAATGTCGCTAATATCATCAAAATACCGAATATCGGGTGGTACCGTTATATGGGGGCTATACGAAGACGTGGACCTACATGACACATTTTCTGCCTTAGGATGTAGTATCCATTACGAACTTCAAATACCAAAATTGAAATAATTCCGGTAAAAAATGTCGCTAGAATTATCAAAATACCGTTATATGGGGGCTATACAAAGGCGTGGACTTACATTTTCAATACCAAAAGTCCTGCAGACATAGTACACATTTCAGTAAAATTTTATCAACCTACTTCATTTTGTTCGGAAGCTATAGTGATTTCCACAGACGGACGGACATTGATAAATCGACATAGAATTTTATGCTGATCAAGAATATATATACTTTGTGGGGTCTAAAATGTATATTTCTAGGTGTTACAAACGGAATGACAAACTTAATATACCCTCCATACTATGGTGTATGGTATAAAAATGAATATTTGTTTTTGTTGTTGTAGCAGTTTTAACATGCTCCGTTGCTTGTATTCTGACTAATCCGGCTTTTCCTCAATCTCCAGGTTTAGGAATTCTGCTACCTTTATGGGCTGTAGCCAGAGATCCTCTGGACGGAGTTGGGTAGGTTAGGCTGGACAATTAAACAGGTGCGGCGTATTGTGCGGGCCTGTATCGCACATCTTCGTCAATTCGTGCCCAATGCGAATTAAGACGGCTGCTCCATCGAACGTAGTTGGGCCAAAACTACCCTGGTTTGCCTAGGCAGCCGACGTTCTTCAGCTGCAATGGATGGGGGATGGACTTCGAGGATGGCTTTCATACGGTAATTATTAACTACCTCTGCGACTGCATCAGTATGGACGCTATTCAGACTCGCTTGATAGGGTTCATGATCTAGGGGCTCTCTCTTATATCGCTGGACCTCTCTATCTAGATCATGCAGGTCCTTCCTGACACGCCTGGGTGGGGGAGTTCTATCCACCATATGGTGGTTAGGGTGACTCCCACGATAACACCCATGCAGGTACTCCAACGAAAGCATATGATTATGCTGACGTAAGGGAAGAACCTTCGTCTCCTCATGTTAATGGTCCACAGGAGTCCTATCGTTTTATAAGAGTTCAACAAGGTTTCCTTATCCGCACCTCAAGTGCTGCCGGCTAGCGCCTTGAGAACCTTGTTCCTACTTTTCATTTTATTGCAAATAGCTGTGGCTTGCGCGGAGGACTTGAACATGCTATCGAATGTGACCCCAAGGATTTCGGTGTAGTTGGTGGTCGGAATTATGTGCCCCTCGACGTGCACATTCAGCTGTGTTCTCATCTCCGCAGTCCATGTGGTAAATAGTGTGGCCGTCGATTTAGTGGCGGATATTTTCATATTCCTCGTATGAAAGAAGGCGGCAAGCTCTGCGAGATAGTTGTTCACCCTATGTCATCAACTACAGGACCCGATGCTATGATCGTACAATCATCCACATAAGTTACGATCTCGATGCCGTCTGGAGGGCGCGGAATTCCGGAATGATAGAGGTTAAATAGTTCCGGAGATATCACCTAGGGGAACTGACTGTTTCACTCTACGAGACTTGGACTTCTTACTCCGGAATTCCACGTACAACTGGCATCCACACATATAGTTGACTATCCAACGGTTTAAACTTGACCGGAAGGTAGTATTCTGAACGTCCTCGAACAGCGAGGCATGGTTGACCGTATCAAACGCCTTTGATAGTCGAGAGCCACCATTACTGTTCCATGGCACGGCCTGTTCTGGTTGAGTCCTCGACTGATATGCGTGGATATGGCGTGCAATGCTGTTGTAGTGCTATGTAGTGGACGGAAACCGTGTTGATGGTTAGCAACTGAATAGCTTCCTCCGATACTGGGGAGGAGTTGGAACGTCGGAGCTCCACACCCTCATTCGCTAATCCCGCTACCTTTGCTGGGAAATTTGGTCTTACTTCGGGTATTCGACCAGCAGGTATATAGCGAGCGGCTGCAGCTTTGATGATGTCCCGGAAAATCTTTTCAGCTACCTGAACATCAGAAGGATTGGGCAGTCTCTGAAGCGAAGGTTGGTGAAATCTCTGAATTCAATCCAGTGGGCTTTCCCATGGTAAAGGAAAGTGCGGCGTTCAGAGGTTATGAAATCGGGCAATCTGCTGATGGAGACGATTATTGGGAGATGGTCTGAGCCAAGAGAAATGACGGGTTGCCAAGTCACGTCATTTATCAGACCGGGTGACACAATGGTTAAATCTGGCGAACTGAGAAACTCTCCTCTTATTCGGTTGGGGGCATCCTCGTTTACCGTGCAAAATGTAGAGCAGTCAATCTGCTTTGCCAAAGCTGATCCCCTCTGGTCATTACCTAGGACGGAATGCCACAACTCATGGTGGGCGTTGAAATCCCCTAGTACCAGGCGGTTATTGCTTTCTAAAAGTAGGCTTATATTAGGCTCACAGCTATTAACCGGCGGGATATACACATTAAGCACCTCTACCTCGGCAATTCCAAATTTGACTGCTACCACCATACACTCCATGTATGGTTCACTAGAGACTAGCTCAAGCGAGATAGGTCTGTATTGAACATAATGGTGCAACAGGAACGCTAATCCCCCACCTCCACTTCTGGTGCGACCTTTCTTCAATACGTTGTAAACATTGCAACGTTGTAAGCTGCAATTTTCTTTGAGCTTGTTTTACTGCACCGCTGCGATCTTAATATTCCTCCGAATCATAAAATCCACTATCTCGTCAATTTTACCTCGGAGTCCGTTGCAATTAAATTGCAAGAATGATGCACTGTCCGGAATTGAAACAGCAACATGTGGCGTTAGGTGCTGCGGTAAAGGTTGCTGTTCTG